CTCCAGTACCTTGGAGTAGACCTTACCGGGGAGGCTGAGGAGTATGATCCCACGATAATTGGAACACACCCTCCGGTCCCCCTTCTTGTAGAGAGGGACCACCACCCCGGTCCGACCGATAGTCATGCTCCATGGACTCTCCGAACTCCTCCCAGTCCCGGGTTTTTGCCTCTGCCCGGGCCGCGGCACGTTTGGCCTGCCGGTACTGGACAGCTGCCTCAGGAGTCCCACGAACCAGCATTGCTCGATAGGACTCCTTCTTCAGCCTGACGGCATCCCTTACTGCCGGTGTCCACCACCGGGTTCGGGGATTGCCGCCGGGACCAGCACCAGAGACCTTGCGACCACAGCTACGAGCCGCCGCATTGGCGATAGAGGAAGAGAACATGGTCCACTCGGACTCGATGTCCCCCTCCTCCGCCGGGACCTGGGAGAAGCTCTCCCGGAGGTGTGAGTTGAAAGTCCGTCTGACAGGGGGCTCCGCGAGACGTTCCCAGCAAACCCTCACTATACGCTTGGGTCTGCCAGGTCTGACCGGCTTCTTCCCCTGCCAGCGGATCCAACTCACGACCAGGTGATGATCGGTTGACAGCTCCGCCCCTCTCTTTACCCGAGTGTCCGAGACACGCGGTCGAAGGTCAGATGATACGACAACAAAGTCGATCATCGACCTCCGGCCTAGGGTGTCCTGGTGCCACGTGCACTGGTGGACACCCTTGTGCTCGAACATGGTGTTCGTGATGGACAGGCCGTGACTGGCACAGAAGTCCAACAACTGAGCACCGCTCGGGTTCAGATCAGGGGGGCCGCTCTTCGCGATCACCCCTCTCCAAGTGTCACTGGCATTTCCCACATGGGCGTTGAAGTCCCCCAGGAGAATAACGGAGTCCCCGGGCGGTGCACTGTCCAGTACCCCTCCCAAGGACTCCAAGAAGGCCGGGTACTCTGCACTACCGTTAGGCCCGTAGGCCGTCACAACAGTGAGAGACTTGTCCCCCACCCGGAGGCGGAGGGACGCGACCCTCTCATTCACCGGGGAGAACTCCAACACGTGGCGGCTGAGATGGGGGGCAATGAGTATGGCCACCCCAGCTCGCCGCCTCTCCCCGCGGGAAACACCAGAAAAGTGGAGCGTCCAACCCCTCTCAAGGAGTTGGGTTCCAGAGTCCAAGCTGTGTGTGGAGGTGAGGCCGACTATCTCTAGTCGGTATCGCTCAACCTCCCCCACAAGCTCGGGCTCCTTCCCCCCCAGTGAGGTGACGTTCCACGTCCCAACAGCCAGATGTTGGGTGTGTGGACTGGGTCGTCGAGGTCGCCGCCTTCGACCGCTGCCCAGTCCTCGCTGCACCACGCCACCACGGACCCCTCTGCAGGTGGTGGGCCCACAGGAGGGACTGCCCACGTCATCCCTTCGGGCTGAGCCCGGCCGGGCCCCGTGGGCTAAGGTCGGCCACCAGGCGCTCGCTTGCGAGCCTCGACCCCAGGCCTGGCTCCAGGGTGGGGCCCCGGCTGCGCCATGCCGGGCGACGTCACTGTTTTCGTTGTCGTGCTGTCCATGGTTGGCTTCGGACTGCGCTTCGTCTGACTCGTCACTTGAGACCTGTCTGCCATGGGAGGCCCTACCAGGGGCATGAAGCCCCAGACAGCATAGATCCCAGGATCATCCGAGTGCTCAAACTCCCCCACCACGTTAAGGTGGCAGTCCAAGGGGGAGCAGTTATTTTAATTTTTTATTTAAACCTGGCAGACTTGTATATTTTACTTGTATCTGTACAGCACTTTGGAAAGGTGTCTTATCAAATGTGCAATATGAATAAAGTGGATTGGATACAGTCTAGACCAGTTTAGATTTACCTCAGAAACTATAGACAAACTGAAATATTGGGTTTTTTCCAGATTCTAGAGCAAAACGTCAGCCTCAGCTCGAGTCTGGCCTTTCCTTCATATTTCAGATGATCGTCAAACTATTTAAAACTCTGTTGTTTGTGAGCCTTGGAAATGAGGAAGTGTAAAACGCTGAAGGTCAAACGCGTGAGTGTCAGAGTTTACCGAGTCGGAATTAAACGTGACGATTGTTGGGAAATCCTGAGTAAACAGACTTTTCGCTGTAATTACAGATAAAGTCTTGATGGTGAGTTCCACAGATTGATCAGTGAAAGTATCTCAGTATCTGTCGCTCTGTGTTTTCATGAACGTGATTAAACATTGAGCAATATCATTAAAACGATCCCATTAAACTCACGTTAGACCCGACAGAGGTTTGCTTTGTGTGTTTGACAGTAAATGTGAATAATCCTCATAATAAATGACACTAATAACCTGTAATCCACTGGTTACCTGTGGTTCCACTGGTGAAGCAGATGATGGCCATGTCGTCGGGCTCCGGAGGCTGCAGCAAACACAAGAGATCAGAGACAGATCCGACTATGCACAAAAGGTTCGTTTAATTTAATTTAATACATATTTTAATCACAAGACCTTGCTGAACCATATTTACAGTATAGATTATAAACTGCACTGGATTATAAGCACCACCAATTATTAATATTAACTAATTGACTGCCATTGACTTATTTGTCTGAGAACCTCTATTTGACTGGAGATTACAGGACCATAGAAACAGCTAGAAACAAGCTTATTTTTGCTGATGAAAGTAGACAATCCAGTCTTTCAGAATCTGGTTTCATATTTCACATAGTCATAGGAAATAATATTCTGTGGGTCTTGAGAAACAGTGGAATTCTCTTTAAGTGAGTTCTGTTCTTCATCTTCAGTGAAGCAGAAACACAAGCAGCAACATCCACTGGTCTCTTTCATGTTTATACAGAGAACCAAAAAACTATTTATTATGAGATATTTACACAAACGTATAATAAGTGAGATCTTTTAAACTGTATTTAATCTGCTCCGTAACAAACAAACATATCACAAATGCTTTTTCTCCATCAGTGCCTGTAACCTTTAAATATATGTGGTTTGGGATGTTTACTAGTATTTTCCATGTTGAGTACAAATGACTGACACATCATAGAATTAATTTGACCTCTGGGAACAACTCATGATGGACCAATGGGGAGGGGCTTATGTCCAAGGTTTTTGATTCCGATGAAAAACGTCTCTCCATTTTAACAATTTAAAAAGTAACTTAATCTAAAATATGTTATGCCCGGTGTACTGCGTTGTGGTTTCATGCAGACATTTCATGGTTTCTCATTTTCAAGTTTTGAGCAATATAGTCCTGAAGAAGTTTTCTGAAGTCTTTTGGATCGATAGAATCTAAATCCAACTCACCATGGGCGTTTGGCGATGAGCTTTGCCGAGTTCCTGTCCAGAGAAAGTTAAACCTTTTAGACTCATGGCCGTGACACAAACATAGAAAACACATTTGTCGTATTGACCTCCATCTGCAGCAGACTCAGGATGTGGATGTCAGCGTCTCGTCCCATGTTGATGAGGTCATCACTGGGCGACTGCATCAGGACGATGGTTTTCACTGAGTGTGTTTGGTTGCTCAGACACTGCAGCACCAGCTTCACCTTCTCCTCCACGTCACACACGATGGTGCAGATGGAGGCTGCAGAGACCAGGTCTGAGTCTGAGGAGGTCTGAGTCTCAGGAGGTCTGAGTCTCAGGAGGTCTGAGTCTCAGGAGGTCTGAGTCTCAGGAGGTCTGAGTCTCAGGAGGTCTGAGTCTCAGGAGGTCTGAGTCTCAGGAGGTCTGAGTCTCAGGAGGTCTGAGACTCAGGAGGTCTGAGACTCAGGAGGTCTGAGACTCAGGAGGTCTGAGACTCAGGAGGTCTGAGACTCAGGAGGTCTGAGACTCAGGAGGTCTGAGACTCAGGAGGTCTGAGACTCAGGAGGTCTGAGACTCAGGAGGTCTGGGACTCAGGAGGTCTGAGACTCAGGAGGTCTGAGACTCAGGAGGTCTGAGACTCAGGAGGTCTGAGACTCAGGAGGTCTGAGACTCAGGAGGTCTGAGACTCAGGAGGTCTGAGACTCAGGAGGTCTGAGTCTCAGGAGGTCTGAGATCCCTGAGACTCAGACCCCTGAGACTCAGACCCCTGAGACTGAGTCTCAGGAGGTCTGAGTCTCAGCAGGTCTGAGTCTCAGCAGGTCTGAGTCTCAGCAGGTCTGAGTCTCAGCAGGTCTGAGTCTCAGCAGGTCTGAGTCTCAGCAGGTCTGAGTCTCAGCAGGTCTGAGTCTCAGCAGGTCTGAGTCTCAGAGTCTGGTCTCAGGAGGTCTGAGTCTCAGGAGGTCTGAGTCTCAGGAGGTCTGAGTCTCAGGAGGTCTGAGTCTCAGGAGGTCTGATCTCAGGAGGTCTGAGTCTCAGGAGGTCTGAGTCTCAGGAGGTCTGAGTCTCAGGAGGTCTGAGTCTCAGGAGGTCTGAGTCTCAGGAGGTCTGAGTCTCAGGAGGTCTGAGTCTCAGGAGGTCTGAGTCTCAGGAGGTCTGAGTCTCAGGAGGTCTGAGTCTCAGGAGGTCTGAGTCTCAGGAGGTCTGAGTCTCAGGAGGTCTGAGTCTCAGGAGGTCTGAGTCTCAGGAGGTCTGAGTCTCAGGAGGTCTGAGTCTCAGGAGGTCTGAGTCTCAGGAGGTCTGAGTCTCAGGAGGTCTGAGTCTCAGGAGGTCTGAGACTCAGGAGGTCTGAGACTCAGGAGGTCTGAGACTCAGGAGGTCTGAGACTCAGGAGGTCTGAGACTCAGGAGGTCTGAGACTCAGGAGGTCTGAGACTCAGAGGTCTGAGACTCAGGAGGTCTGAGACTCAGGAGGTCTGAGTCTCAGGAGGTCTGAGTCTCAGGAGGTCTGAGTCTCAGGAGGTCTGAGTCTCAGGAGGTCTGAGTCTCAGGAGGTCTGAGTCTCACAAGGTCTGAGTCTCAGGAGGTCTGAGTCTCAGGAGGTCTGAGTCTCAGGAGGTCTGAGATCCCTGAGACTCAGACCCCTGAGACTCAGACCCCTGAGACTGAGTCTCAGGAGGTCTGAGTCTGAGGAGGTCTGAGTCTGAGGAGGTCTGAGTCTCAGCAGGTCTGAGTCTCAGGAGGTCTGAGTCTCAGGAGGTCTGAGTCTCAGGAGGTCTGAGTCTCAGGAGGTCTGAGTCTCAGGAGGTCTGAGTCTCAGGAGGTCTGAGTCTCAGGAGGTCTGAGTCTCAGGAGGTCTGAGTCTCAGGAGGTCTGAGTCTCAGCAGGTCTGAGTCTCAGGAGGTCTGAGTCTCAGGAGGTCTGAGTCTCAGGAGGTCTGAGATCCCTGAGACTCAGACCCCTGAGACTGAGTCTCAGGAGGTCTGAGTCTCAGCAGGTCTGAGTCTCAGCAGGTCTGAGTCTCAGCAGGTCTGAGTCTCAGGAGGTCTGAGTCTCAGGAGGTCTGAGTCTCAGGAGGTCTGAGACTCAGGAGGTCTGAGACTCAGGAGGTCTGAGACTCAGGAGGTCTGAGACTCAGGAGGTCTGAGACTCAGGAGGTCTGAGTCTCAGGAGGTCTGAGTCTCAGGAGGTCTGAGTCTCAGGAGGTCTGAGTCTCAGGAAGTCTGAGTCTCAGGAGGTCTGAGTCTCAGGAGGTCTGAGTCTCAGGAGGTCTGAGTCTCAGGAGGTCTGAGACTCAGGAGGTCTGAGACTCAGGAGGTCTGAGACTCAGGAGGTCTGAGACTCAGGAGGTCTGAGACTCAGGAGGTCTGAGACTCAGGAGGTCTGAGACTCAGGAGGTCTGAGACTCAGGAGGTCTGAGATCCCTGAGACTCAGACCCCTGAGACTGAGTCTCAGGAGGTCTGAGTCTCAGCAGGTCTGAGTCTCAGCAGGTCTGAGTCTCAGGAGGTCTGAGTCTCAGGAGGTCTGAGTCTCAGGAGGTCTGAGTCTCAGGAGGTCTGAGTCTCAGGAGGTCTGAGTCTCAGGAGGTCTGAGTCTCAGGAGGTCTGAGTCTCAGGAGGTCTGAGTCTCAGGAGGTCTGAGTCTCAGGAGGTCTGAGTCTCAGGAGGTCTGAGTCTCAGGAGGTCTGAGTCTCAGGAGGTCTGAGACTCAGGAGGTCTGAGACTCAGGAGGTCTGAGACTCAGGAGGTCTGAGACTCAGGAGGTCTGAGACTCAGGAGGTCTGAGACTCAGGAGGTCTGAGTCTCAGGAGGTCTGAGTCTCAGGAGGTCTGAGTCTCAGGAGGTCTGAGTCTCAGGAGGTCTGAGTCTCAGGAGGTCTGAGTCTCAGGAGGTCTGAGTCTCAGGAGGTCTGAGTCTCAGGAGGTCTGAGTCTCAGGAGGTCTGAGTCTCAGGAGGTCTGAGATCCCTGAGACTCAGACCCCTGAGACTCAGACCCCTGAGACTGAGTCTCAGGAGGTCTGAGTCTCAGCAGGTCTGAGTCTCAGCAGGTCTGAGTCTCAGCAGGTCTGAGTCTCAGCAGGTCTGAGTCTCAGGAGGTCTGAGTCTCAGGAGGTCTGAGTCTCAGGAGGTCTGAGTCTCAGGAGGTCTGAGTCTCAGGAGGTCTGAGTCTCAGGAGGTCTGAGTCTCAGGAGGTCTGAGTCTCAGGAGGTCTGAGTCTCAGGAGGTCTGAGTCTCAGGAGGTCTGAGACTCAGGAGGTCTGAGACTCAGGAGGTCTGAGACTCAGGAGGTCTGAGATCCCTGAGACTCAGACCCCTGAGACTGAGTCTCAGGAGGTCTGAGTCTGAGGAGGTCTGAGTCTGAGGAGGTCTGAGTCTCAGCAGGTCTGAGTCTCAGCAGGTCTGAGTCTCAGCAGGTCTGAGTCTCAGGAGGTCTGAGTCTCAGGAGGTCTGAGTCTCAGGAGGTCTGAGTCTCAGGAGGTCTGAGTCTCAGGAGGTCTGAGTCTCAGGAGGTCTGAGTCTCAGGAGGTCTGAGTCTCAGGAGGTCTGAGTCTCAGGAGGTCTGAGTCTCAGGAGGTCTGAGTCTCAGGAGGTCTGAGATCCTGAGACTCAGACCCCTGAGACTGAGTCTCAGGAGGTCTGAGTCTCAGCAGGTCTGAGTCTCAGCAGGTCTGAGTCTCAGCAGGTCTGAGTCTCAGCAGGTCTGAGTCTCAGCAGGTCTGAGTCTCAGCAGGTCTGAGTCTCAGGAGGTCTGAGTCTCAGGAGGTCTGAGTCTCAGGAGGTCTGAGACTCAGGAGGTCTGAGACTCAGGAGGTCTGAGACTCAGGAGGTCTGAGACTCAGGAGGTCTGAGACTCAGGAGGTCTGAGACTCAGGAGGTCTGAGTCTCAGGAGGTCTGAGTCTCAGGAGGTCTGAGTCTGAGGAGGTCTGAGTCTGAGGAGGTCTGAGTCTCAGCAGGTCTGAGTCTCAGCAGGTCTGAGTCTCAGCAGGTCTGAGTCTCAGGAGGTCTGAGTCTCAGGAGGTCTGAGTCTCAGGAGGTCTGAGTCTCAGGAGGTCTGAGTCTCAGGAGGTCTGAGTCTCAGGAGGTCTGAGTCTCAGGAGGTCTGAGTCTCAGGAGGTCTGAGTCTCAGGAGGTCTGAGTCTCAGGAGGTCTGAGTCTCAGGAGGTCTGAGTCTCAGGAGGTCTGAGTCTCAGGAGGTCTGAGTCTCAGGAGGTCTGAGATCCCTGAGACTCAGACCCCTGAGACTGAGTCTCAGGAGGTCTGAGTCTCAGCAGGTCTGAGTCTCTCAGCAGGTCTGAGTCTCAGCAGGTCTGAGTCTCAGCAGGTCTGAGTCTCAGGAGGTCTGAGTCTCAGGAGGTCTGAGTCTCAGGAGGTCTGAGACTCAGGAGGTCTGAGACTCAGGAGGTCTGAGACTCAGGAGGTCTGAGACTCAGGAGGTCTGAGTCTCAGGAGGTCTGAGTCTCAGGAGGTCTGAGTCTCAGGAGGTCTGAGTCTCAGGAGGGTCTGAGTCTCAGGAGGTCTGAGTCTCAGGAGGTCTGAGTCTCAGGAGGTCTGAGACTCAGGAGGTCTGAGACTCAGGAGGTCTGAGACTCAGGAGGTCTGAGACTCAGGAGGTCTGAGACTCAGGAGGTCTGAGACTCAGGAGGTCTGAGACTCAGGAGGTCTGAGACTCAGGAGGTCTGAGACTCAGGAGGTCTGAGACTCAGGAGGTCTGAGATCCCTGAGACTCAGACCCCTGAGACTGAGTCTCAGGAGGTCTGAGTCTCAGCAGGTCTGAGTCTCAGCAGGTCTGAGTCTCAGGAGGTCTGAGTCTCAGGAGGTCTGAGTCTCAGGAGGTCTGAGTCTCAGGAGGTCTGAGTCTCAGGAGGTCTGAGTCTCAGGAGGTCTGAGTCTCAGGAGGTCTGAGTCTCAGGAGGTCTGAGTCTCAGGAGGTCTGACTCAGGAGGTCTGAGACTCAGGAGGTCTGAGACTCAGGAGGTCTGAGACTCAGGAGGTCTGAGACTCAGGAGGTCTGAGTCTCAGGAGGTCTGAGTCTCAGGAGGTCTGAGTCTCAGGAGGTCTGAGTCTCAGGAGGTCTGAGTCTCAGGAGGTCTGAGTCTCAGGAGGTCTGAGTCTCAGGAGGTCTGAGTCTCAGGAGGTCTGAGATCCCTGAGACTCAGACCCCTGAGACTCAGACCCCTGAGACTCAGACCCCTGAGACTGAGTCTCAGGAGGTCTGAGTCTCAGCAGGTCTGAGTCTCAGCAGGTCTGAGTCTCAGGAGGTCTGAGTCTCAGGAGGTCTGAGTCTCAGGAGGTCTGAGTCTCTGGAGGTCTGAGTCTCAGGAGGTCTGAGTCTCTAGAGGTCTGAGATCCCTGAGACTCAGACCCCTGAGACTGAGTCTCAGGAGGTCTGAGTCTCAGCAGGTCTGAGTCTCAGCAGGTCTGAGTCTCAGGAGGTCTGAGTCTCAGGAGGTCTGAGTCTCTGGAGGTCTGAGTCTCAGGAGGTCTGAGTCTCTAGAGGTCTGAGTCTCAGGAGGTCTGAGACTCAGGAGGTCTGAGACTCAGGAGGTCTGAGACTCAGGAGGTCTGAGACTCAGGAGGTCTGAGACTCAGGAGGTCTGAGATCCCTGAGACTCAGACCCCTGAGACTGAGTCTCAGGAGGTCTGAGTCTGAGGAGGTCTGAGTCTGAGGAGGTCTGAGTCTCAGCAGGTCTGAGTCTGAGGAGGTCTGAGTCTCAGCAGGTCTGAGTCTCAGCAGGTCTGAGTCTCAGCAGGTCTGAGTCTCAGGAGGTCTGAGTAGTAAGTAAGTAAGTAATCTTTATTTATATACCGCCTTTTCACTGCACATCGGAGTCTCAAAGCGGTTTACAATTGTTATTTTTGGGAGTGGGGTCGCCAGTACAGGAGGCACATGCCAGACCTATTGTACATATTTTTAGTGGTAGGGGAAACCGGAGCACCCGGAGGAAACCTACGCAGACACGGGGAGAACATGCAAACTCCACTCAGAAAGGCCCTGGTCCAACCGGGATTTGAACCCAGGACCTTCTTGCTGAGAGGCGAGAGTGCTATCCACTCAGCCACCGTGCCGCCCGGTCTCAGGAGGTCTGAGTCTCAGGAGGTCTGAGTCTCAGGAGGTCTGAGTCTCAGGAGGTCTGAGTCTCAGGAGGTCTGAGTCTCAGGAGGTCTGAGTCTCAGGAGGTCTGAGTCTCAGGAGGTCTGAGTCTCAGGAGGTCTGAGTCTCAGGAGGTCTGAGTCTCAGGAGGTCTGAGTCTCAGGAGGTCTGAGTCTCAGGAGGTCTGAGTCTCAGGAGGTCTGAGTCTCAGGAGGTCTGAGTCTCAGGAGGTCTGAGTCTCAGGAGGTCTGAGTCTCAGGAGGTCTGAGTCTCAGGAGGTCTGAGTCTCAGGAGGTCTGAGTCTCAGGAGGTCTGAGTCTCAGGAGGTCTGAGACTCAGGAGGTCTGAGACTCAGGAGGTCTGAGACTCAGGAGGTCTGAGACTCAGGAGGTCTGAGTCTCAGGAGGTCTGAGTCTCAGGAGGTCTGAGATCCCTGAGACTCAGACCCCTGAGACTGAGTCTCAGGAGGTCTGAGTCTGAGGAGGTCTGAGTCTGAGGAGGTCTGAGTCTCAGGAGGTCTGAGTCTCAGGAGGTCTGAGTCTCAGGAGGTCTGAGTCTCAGGAGGTCTGAGTCTCAGGAGGTCTGAGACTCAGGAGGTCTGAGACTCAGGAGGTCTGAGACTCAGGAGGTCTGAGTCTTAGGAGGTCTGAGTCTCAGGAGGTCTGAGTCCCAGGAGGTCTGAGTCTCAGGAGGTCTGAGTCTCAGGAGGTCTGAGTCTCAGGAGGTCTGAGTCTCAGGAGGTCTGAGTCTCAGGAGGTCTGAGTCTCAGGAGGTCTGAGACTCAGGAGGTCTGAGTCTCAGGAGGTCTGAGACTCAGGAGGTCTGAGACACAGGAGGTCTGAGACACAGGAGGTCTGAGTCTCAGGAGGTCTGAGATCCCTGAGACTCAGACCCCTGAGACTCAGACCCCTGAGACTGAGTCTCAGGAGGTCTGAGTCTGAGGAGGTCTGAGTCTCAGCAGGTCTGAGACACAGGAGGTCTGAGACACAGGAGGTCTGAGTCTCAGGAGGTCTGAGATCCCTGAGACTCAGACCCCTGAGACTCAGACCCCTGAGACTGAGTCTCAGGAGGTCTGAGTCTCAGCAGGTCTGAGTCTCAGCAGGTCTGAGTCTCAGCAGGTCTGAGTCTCAGCAGGTCTGAGTCTCAGCAGGTCTGAGTCTCAGCAGGTCTGAGTCTCAGCAGGTCTGAGTCTCAGCAGGTCTGAGTCTCAGGAGGTCTGAGTCTCAGGAGGTCTGAGTCTCAGGAGGTCTGAGTCTCAGGAGGTCTGAGTCTCAGGAGGTCTGAGTCTCAGGAGGTCTGAGTCTCAGGAGGTCTGAGTCTCAGGAGGTCTGAGTCTCAGGAGGTCTGAGACTCAGGAGGTCTGAGACTCAGGAGGTCTGAGACTCAGGAGGTCTGAGACTCAGGAGGTCTGAGACTCAGGAGGTCTGAGATCCCTGAGACTCAGACCCCTGAGACTGAGTCTCAGGAGGTCTGAGATCCCTGAGACTCAGACCCCTGAGACTGAGTCTCAGGAGGTCTGAGTCTCAGCAGGTCTGAGTCTCAGCAGGTCCTGAGACTCAGACCTCCTGAGACTCAGACCTCCTGAGACTCAGACCTCCTGAGACTCAGACCTCCTGAGACTCAGACCTCCTGAGACTCAGACCTCCTGAGACTCAGACCTGCTGAGACTCAGACCTCCTGAGACTCAGACCTCCTGAGACTCAGGTCTCAGACTCAGGAGGTCTGAGACTCAGGAGGTCTGAGTCTCAGGAGGTCTGAGTCTCAGGAGGTCTGAGTCTCAGGAGGTCTGAGTCTCAGGAGGTCTGAGTCTCAGGAGGTCTGAGTCTCAGGAGGTCTGAGTCTCAGGAGGTCTGAGTCTCAGGAGGTCTGAGTCTCAGGAGGTCTGAGTCTCAGGAGGTCTGAGTCTCAGGAGGTCTGAGTCTCAGGAGGTCTGAGTCTCAGGAGGTCTGAGTCTCAGCAGGTCTGAGTCTCAGCAGGTCTGAGTCTCAGGAGGTCTGAGATCCCTGAGACTCAGACCCCTGAGACTCAGACCTCCGGAGACTCAGACCTCCAGGAGGTCTGAGTCTCAGGAGGTCTGAGTCTCAGGAGGTCTGAGTCTCAGGAGGTCTGAGTCTCAGGAGGTCTGAGTCTCAGGAGGTCTGAGTCTCAGGAGGTCTGAGTCTCAGGAGGTCTGAGTCTCAGCAGGTCTGAGTCTCAGCAGGTCTGAGTCTCAGCAGGTCTGAGTCTCAGGAGGTCTGAGTCTCAGGAGGTCTGAGTCTCAGGAGGTCTGAGTCTCAGGAGGTCTGAGTCTCAGGAGGTCTGAGTCTCAGGAGGTCTGAGTCTCAGGAGGTCTGAGTCTCAGGAGGTCTGAGTCTCAGGAGGTCTGAGTCTCAGGAGGTCTGAGTCTCAGGAGGTCTGAGTCTCAGGAGGTCTGAGTTCTCAGGAGGTCTGATACTCAGGAGGTCTGAGACTCAGGAGGTCTGAGTCTCAGGAGGTCTGAGATCCCTGAGACTCAGACCCCTGAGACTCAGACCTCCGGAGACTGAGTCTGAGGAGGTCTGAGTCTCAGGGGTCTGAGTCTCAGGGGTCTGAGTCTCAGGGGTCTGAGTCTGAGGAGGTCTGAGTCTCAGGGGTCTGAGTCTCAGGAGGTCTGAGTGTCAGGGGTCTGAGTGTCAGGGGTCTGAGGCTCAGGGGTCTGAGGCTCAGGGGTCTGAGGCTCAGGGGTCTGAGTCTCAGGGGTCTGAGTCTCAGGGGTCTGAGTCTCAGCAGGTCTGAGTCTCAGCAGGTCTGAGTCTCAGGAGGTCTGAGTCTCAGAAGGTCTGAGTCTCAGAAGGTCTGAGTCTCAGGAGGTCTGAGTCTCAGGGGTCTGAGACTCAGGAGGTCTGAGTCTCAGGAGGTCTGAGTCTCAGGAGGTCTGAGTCTCAGGGGTCTGAGTCTCAGGAGGTCTGAGTCTCAGGAGGTCTGAGACTCAGGAGGTCTGAGACTCAGGAGGTCTGAGTCTCAGGAGGTCTGAGTCTCAGGAGGTCTGAGTCTCAGGAGGTCTGAGTCTCAGGAGGTCTGAGTCTCAGGGGTCTGAGTCTCAGGGGTCTGAGTCTCAGGGGTCTGAGTCTCAGGGGTCTGAGTCTGAGGAGGTCTGAGTCTCAGGGGTCTGAGTCTCAGGAGGTCTGAGTGTCAGGGGTCTGAGTGTCAGGGGTCTGAGGCTCAGGGGTCTGAGGCTCAGGGGTCTGAGGCTCAGGGGTCTGAGTCTCAGGGGTCTGAGTCTCAGGGGTCTGAGTCTCAGCAGGTCTGAGTCTCAGGAGGTCTGAGTCTCAGGAGGTCTGAGTCTCAGGAGGTCTGAGTCTCAGGGGTCTGAGACTCAGGAGGTCTGAGTCTCAGGAGGTCTGAGTCTCAGGAGGTCTGAGTCTCAGGAGGTCTGAGTCTCAGGAGGTCTACTGTATCTGTCATCACTATAACTTCAGCTGTAGTCTGTTCATTGCTATTCACCCGCGGTCCCGTGCTCTGTCTCATGGCGCAGAGTGGAGTCGTACCTTTGTCGATGATGTAGGAAATGGCTTCTGTTCCCAACGTGTCGTAAAGTGGCACCGACACCAGAGAGTACGTGTAACAGGCCAGCTCTGTCAGCGTCCACTGAAAACACACTCAGATGAACCACATCTGCAGATACAGATGCAAAAGAGAGAGGAGGGGGAGAGGAGGAGGAGAGGAGGAGGAGAGGAGGGGGAGAGGAGGAGGAGAGGAGAGGGGAGAGGAGGGGGAGAGGAGGAGGAGAGGAGGAGGAGAGGAGAGGGGAGAGGAGGGGGAGAGGAGAGGGGAGAGGGGGGAGAGGAGGGGGGAGAGGAGGGGGGAGAGGGGAGAGGGGAGAGGAGTGAGGAGGGGGAGAGGAGAGGAGAGAGAGGGGGAGAGAGAAGAGGGGGAGGGGGGGGGGGGGGGGAGTGAGGGAGAGGGAGGGGGAGAGAGGAGGGAGAGAGAGAGAGAGGGGGAGAGAGAGAGAGAGTAGGGGAGAGAGAGAGAGTAGGGGAGAGAGAGGAAGGGGAGGAGGGGGAGAGAGGAGGGAGAGAGGGAAGGGGAGAGAGAGAGACAGGGAAACAGAGAAGAGGGGGAGAGAAAGAGAAAAGGGGGAGAGAAAGAGACGAGGAGGAGCGAAACAGAAAAGAGAAAGATAGACAGAGAGCAGGTGAAAGAAGAGAGAGAGAGACAGAAAAGAGAGTAGTGAGAAAGCGAGAGGTGAGAGAGCGAAAAGAGACAGAAAAAGAGACAGAGCGGGTGAAAGAAAAGAACGTGAGAGAGAGAGAGAATCAAAGAATAATAATAATAATACAATTTTGTGTTTTTATATTGTCTTTGGCTGTTGTGAAGATGTGAGTGAGATATAATTATTGTATGTAATGTATATATGTGGCAAATGGGGATCTTCATGCAACTAAACTAAACTAAACTAAACTAAACTAAACTAGATCTATGTCTTTGGTGTAAAAGCACCTCTGGCCTGTTCTGGGAGAAGATTCCGATGTAGGGGTCATTAGTCTTGGAGTGTCCTTTGTGGAGGAAGGCGGAGCCGAGGTTTTCACTTCTCTGGATGACCTGCGAACAACACCTCAGTCTTTATTCAAAACCAAACTTTATTAGTCCTCGTGCACGTGTCGGACTGTGTCACCTCTTGGTAGGACAGCCATTCGTACGGCTGCTGGGGTTTCCTGGAGCCTAAGCACGGCCCGTTATCTGGAAATGGAAAATTAAAATGTTATTGTTCAATGACTGGTTCAGAAGGGAACACATCACCCCTGTATTAGCATCACCCCACTGGCTCCCGGTGCGTTTTTAGAATTGATTTTAAGATTTCACTGATCACTTTTAAAAGCTTGTTTAAGGTCTAGCACTCAGCTTCATCACGAGCCTCCCCTCCTGCAGCTTTAGATCCTCCAGGGCAGGTCCAGACAAAAGGGGATTGAACCTTCTCCGTCCGGGCTCCTCGACTCTGGAACGAGCTGCTCGAGGAGATCGGCTCGGTCCATCAGTGTCTTCACAACACTTCATAAAACCCACTTTTCTATGGGCCTGTTTAGACGGAAACGCTGCAAAGCAATTAGCAAAAACGACCAGGCTCCGAACTCGACGAGACAACGACTGAAAACGATGTAGTTGTAGTTTGTGGCCAGCAGGGGGCATTGGAACAACACGACACACACGACCCCCAGCAGTAGATCCAACCTTCCACCTGAAACACCGTCTCCATGGAAACGAAAGGAACCGTATAAACTCTGACCTTTCACTGCCGCTGCGTCTCCGTGGGAACCTTTCCTCTTGTCTCCCTCTGCTTTATTCTCCAGTATTTCTTTTTGATTATTTTGACTGTTTTATTGACTTTGTTTGTTGCTTTAGATTTATTATTATTATTACTTTCTTGCCATTTGCCCTCTGTCTGCTTTATTCTCCTGTGTTTCTGATATTTAATTTTGTTATAACTGTTTTATAGACTATAACTTTGATTGTCTTAACCCACTCACAACAAAGTATTCATTCATACATTGGTTTAAGCTGCATGTGAAGCACTTTGTAAACACAGCCGCTGAAAAGAGCTTTACAAACACAGATGAACTATTATAAAGGGCAGTGTCTTAGTGAATTAAAAAACAAATATTACGAATCATTTGAGCTAGACTGACTTTTCATTCTTCAACTGGCTGCAATTCATAGTTAGCAGTCTGAACAAAATGTAAACTAATACTTGAAACGAAAGGCTTTTACGATCCAGAGCCGAGAGGGTTGAGGAGAACGACTCACTGGAGACGCGCGCCCCCCGGTGGAGGAACTCGTAAATGGTTTTGGCGTCTTCGTAGTAGTGCGTCATGGGTTCGTCTCCCACAGAAAGCACTGAGCGTCGAGCCAAATCCTCTCCCTGCAGAAGAGACAGAGTCAGGATCAGGAACCTGTCATGTTTATGTATATAGCGCCTTTCACAGACCAGAGCCTTGTTTTATATGAATAAAAGGACAAGCTACAAGGTCCTGGGTTCAAATCCCCGTCGGAACAGGGTCATTCTCAGTCGAGTTTGCATGTTCTCCCCGCGTCTGCGTAGGTTCCCTCCAGGTGCTCCGGTTTCCCAAACCACTAAAAACATGTACAATAGGTCTGAATGTAATGAGTGAGTGGATGGTGTTTGGTCGGAGGCTTTGATGGGCCTTGGTCTGTAAAAATGTGCCCTATAAATAAACATTACTTACACACTATTGTACTCTATACCTTTGTTATAAACACAGTAAGAACTAAGAACTGCTGCGCACAAACACCCTCTAATCTCACTGAGCATGTGTTGTTTTGTAAAGATGAATGGGAAAAACTTCCGGTCTCTATGTACAAAGCTTGGAGAGTCATTCCCTTCCTGTCGGTGATTGCAGAAATAGGGTGTTCGACAAAGTTAATGTTGTAAACAAACTTGTGCAAACCCCACTTTTTAGTTTTGGATAAAAAAAAATAAAAAAAACATGTGTAATTTTCACTGCAGTTTCTTTGTTTTGGTCGTAAACATCCAACAGTTCAATTACATTAGAATTTAGTAGATATAAAAATGATCATTCAGTCCTGTTCCAACTGAAGGATTATATCTCTGTGGTTACTTATTTAATTTATTGTGATTTTAATGTTTTAATTTATTGTGATTTTAATGTTTTAATTTATTGTGATTTTAATGTTTTAATGTTTTAATTCATTGCGATTTTAATGTTTTAATGGTTTTAATTTATTGTGATTTTAATGTTTTAATGGTTTTAATTTATTGTGATATTAATGTTTTAATGGTTTTAATTTATTGCGATTTTAATGTTTTAATTTTTTGTGATTTTAATGTTTTAATTTTTTGTGATTTTAATGTTTTAATTTTTTGTGATTTTAATGTTTTAATTTATTGTGATTTTAATGGTTTTAATTTATTGTGATTTTAATGTTTTAATGGTTTTAATTCATTGCGATTTTAATGTTTTAATTTATTGTGATTTTAATGTTTTAATGGTTTTAATTTATTGTGATATTAATGTTTTAATGGTTTTAATTTATTGCGATTTTAATGTTTTAATGGTTTTAATTTATTGCGATTTTAATGTTTTAATTTATTGCGATATTAATATTTTAATGGTTTGAATGTATTGCAATTTTAATGTTTTAATGGTTTTAATTTATTGCGATTTTAATATTTTAATGGTTTTAATTTATTGCGATTTTAATGTTTTAATTTATTGCGATATTAATGTTTTTAATTTATTGCATTATTAATGTTTTAATGGTTTTAATTTATTGCGATATTAATGTTTTAATTTATTGCGATTTTAATGTTTTAATGGTTTTCATTTATTGCGATATTAATGTTTTAATGGTTTTAATTTATTGCATTATTAATGTTTTAATGGTTTTAATTTATAGCGATATTAATGTTTTAATGGTTTTAATTTATTGCAATTTTTATGTTTTAATGGTTTTAATTTATTGTGATTTTAATGTTTTCAAGGTGATTCTGGTGTTTGTTTTATGTGATGATTTGTGCCTTGTGTGATTGTGTCATTTTTTTCCATTTTTAAAGACATACGTTTCTTCTGCCGATATATTTTTAGTAAATATAAAAAGCAAAGAAGTGTGAGAGCGGGTTAATCCACAAACACCCGTCTCTGAACGACACTGACTGAAACTCATCGTGAAAGAATCTGAAGACATTTAAACAGTTTCCTCGTTCCTCTCGGGCGCGGTTTGAGATATTAATTACAGTTAATGACAGAGTGGGAAAAAAATAAATAAAATAAATCCACCAATCAGGAGCCAGAGCCCGACAGAGCGACAGGCAAACAGGAAGTGATGTTTTATTATTTAATGAATGTATTTGTCGACTTGAGGTCACGCTCTGCTGCTGTTTTTGAAGTGAGTCCACCACTGATTACACTATAATAATAATAACAATAAAAATAATAATAATAATAACCATAATAATAGCAATAATGATAATAATAATAATAATAATAATGATATTAATAATAAATCATAATAATAAATAAAGATAATCATAATAATTAATAATAATAATAATAATAATGTTCTTTAAAATCAAATTGCAATGAAAAGACTGATTTATCTCTTGCTGCAAGTGCTAATTTTGATATTTTTATTTTCAATCTTTTAAACTTTTTTTATGAGTGTATAAATGTTTTCATGGATTTTATGCCTCGAGTGTAAAGGGTTCTATTAATAACATTTGATTTGAATAAAAAATCCATGAGATTAGATTCTAATTCAGAATCAGAATCAGAATCAGAATCATTTTTATTGCCAACGTAAGTAACGGGAGGTCACAGACTTGGAAATTGCTTTGGCTCAGTGCAACAGTCAAAAAGAGATAATAAAAATAAGAATAAAAAACACTTCTAAAGAATAAATTTAAATTTAAAATAGAGTTACAGTTACTATTTACAATATACAAGTGCACATGGTGCACACAATGTAAGTAATTAAAGACAGAATATGTTGAAAATCAACAATAAATTGTAGCAGTAAAAGCAGAGCATCTGGTCTAATGTAACTGTCATCAGATAAATAAAATATAAATAAAATATATATATATATAAATACAAAAAATACAAAATATAAAAAATACAAAAAAGCACTAAATATATAAAAAATAAAAACTAACAAAATCTAAACAAATCTAAAAAAATATTTATTAAAAATCATTTTGTAGCAGAAAAATACTGCTTCTTTACTTGCACTTGGCTGTATTGCTTTGTGTGTGAATTGCGCTTTATAAATAAATGTGCTGTTCCCAGCGATAGTGGAAAACCCCATGGTACACATTGATTGTTTTGACTTGGACTCACCTGGACTGGCACAGACTGATTCTGGAGGTCGCACACCGGGGGGAGGGCCTTGGGTCGCGTGGCCAGGAAGTAGGCCATGGCGACCGCACCCACGCTGACCAGAGCGGGCGCCGAGAAGGAGCGCAGGTACTGCCCGATCTCATCCAGGTCCGGCAGCCGCAGCTTCTGTAGCAGCTCCTGGTTCATGGTGTCTGAGGAGGAGGAGGAGGAGACTAGAAGGAGACCAGAAGGAGACCAGAAGGAGACCAGAAGGAGACCAGAAGGAGACCAGAAGGAGACCAGAAGGAGACCAGAAGGAGACCAGAAGGAGGAGACCAGAAGGAGGAGACCAGAAGGAGAGCGTGAGAAGTCTGGTTTAATGTGACACTCACGGCTCAGGATTAAAAACGGCAGGAAGTGGCTGAACTGGAAAGACTTGTGTTAAACTTGGCTCCTGTGAGAATGTAAGGCCAGGGACCAGGTGGAAAGGACCAGGTGAGAATGTAAGGCCAGGGACCAGGTGGAAAGGATCAGGTGAGAATGTAAGGCCAGGGACCAGGTGGAAAGGACCAGGTGAGAATGTAAGGCCAGGGACCAGGTGGAAAGGACCCGGTGTATCTGTCAGGGACCAGGTGGAAAGGACTAGGTGGATCTGTCAGGGACCAGGTGGAAAGGACTAGGGGGATCTGTCAGGGACTAAGTGGATCTGTCAGGGACCACGTGGATCTGTCAGGGACCAGGTAGAAAGGACCAGGTGTATCTGTCAGGGACCAGGTGGAAAGGACTAGGTGGATCTGTCAGGGACTAAGTGGATTTGTCAGGGACCAGGTGGATCTGTCAGGGACCAGGTAGAAAGGACCAGGTGGATCTGTCAGGGACCAGGTGGATCTGTCAGGGACCAGGTGGATCTGTCAGGGACCAGGTGGATCTGTCAGGGACCAGGTCGATCTGTCAGGGACCGGGTCGATCTGTCAGGGACCAGGTGGATCTGTCAGGGACCAGGTGGATCTGTCAGGGACTAGGTGGAAAGGAGCTGGTGCTACATCTGGTGCAGCCATCTTTTTAATGCACATAATTAATAAAAGAAAAGATGGTGAAGAACTTTGGATATTGGACCATAAACAAGCCACAGAGACACACAAGAGAGACTCAGGGAGAGACCAGAACCCAGGGGTGTCCAAACTTCTTAGTAGGAGGGCGGCTTTAGTTCACCAAACCACTGGGTGATACTGTGTGCTCATAGTTATTAAACACTGGTGTCATTTTGCAACACAATTGAAAAACAAAATAAATACAAAGCAAGCAAATGACTGTATTCCAAAGATGCAGCATGACTATATGGGTGGAGCTGAAGTTGGCTGGATGACTCTGTGAAAGTGCCTCAATGGATCGTTTGTATTAGCAAGACATAGGGCCGCATAGAATGAAAGTGGGCCGCATTTGGCTCGCGGGCCTTGGTTTGGACATGCCGGCCATAACCCCAAGACTGTTTTTTATGATTATCAATTATCATTATTACAGTAGATAAGTAATGTTTGTTGTGCTAGGTCTCCAGTGTGCATAAATTAGTGGTAGGGGAAATCGGAGCACCTGGAGGAAACCTACGCAGACACAGGGAGAACACGCAAACTCCACTCAGAAAGTCCCTGTTCCGACCGGGATTCGAACCCAGGACTTTCTTGCCGAGAAGCAGAAGCGTCCTGACCGATCGGGCCGATTTCTGGAGAATTTACCCGTTTCGTTACAATCCACACATTGATTATTGATAAATGTGAAAAAGTTCTTTCACATTATAACATTTACAAGGATTTTGGGACTAAAAACTAGTAATAAAACCGTTGAATGAATCTTATTGGATGGACCCTTCAAAAACATCAAATTGTTGTGTAACTAAGGCTGATGATTTAAGAGCTATACCACAATAGTGCAAAAAGAGTGCATTTTACTGCACCACAAAGTTTTACACTAGTTTTATTACTGTTAGAAAAAGCAGTTGAAACTATTATGGTTCATTTAAACAGCAACTTTGACAGTGATTTCTGGACTAAAAACGGCACAAAAGACCTCCATGTCCCCAAACTACAAATGGACTGTTTAGGTGGACCTTTTAAACTGGATTAATGACGTCCATATTGTCCATTTATGTCCATTTGTTGCAAATTTGTGTCAATTTTTGACGAGAGACCAAAGTTAAAAGACCATTTAAAAACACACATTTTCAAATCTCTTTTTCCCCACAGAAGAAAAGTGAAATGGACACTCACCGGTGGCGTTCGGAGGCAGCTGTGTGGTCTACAGAGGAGAAAGTGCAGTGACCCTCATGAAGCAGACGAGTGGGATTGACCCGCAGGAAATCTGTCAATCAAAGGTCAAAGGTCAGAGATGTGACGAAACAAGATTCAGACCAATCAATGACCTCATCAGAGCATCGCTGTGTAATGTTTACTCAGCGGGACCTTAACCGTCTGAGGCCCAGAGCTCCAGCCGGCGGTATTAGTGTAGTAGTAGTATGTAGCCTGGTCTTACCACACCATGGTACTCATTTCATTCATACTAAGGTCTGGATTTGCTCCATTGACTGCGTTAACAGGTGGGAGGGGCTAACTGCTTTTGCAGATTGAAACCATTGGATCTGAGTTTACTGTGACGTATGTAATGAGCCCGAGTGAGTGAGGCCTTTAGCATTTAGCATTTAGCCAAGCTTTAGCATTTAGTTGAATTGGTTCATTTACTTACTTTTGTATTCACTTTGCTTGAGGCATTTATGAGGTTATATTTGACCGTTCTGCTTTTGACCCCTTTGTTTTATTCTCGTCATCCAGCCAACTTCAGCTCCATCAATAAATCATGCTATACCTCGTTCGTAAAGCTCAGAACCTTTGGAACCTTCACTGTACTGCTGTCACCTTACATTGTGTGCACCATGTGCACTTGTATATTGTAAATAGTAACTGCAAACTGAGCCAAAGCAATTTACAAGTCTGTGACTTCCTGTTACCTACGTGGCAATACAAATTATTCTGATTCTGAGTCTCTGATTCTGAGTCGCTATGACGCTGATGTAGCGTGAATCAATACAAAGCCCAGATCAGCCCAAATTTAGTCAACACAGTTGGCTAAATTGCGGCCCTTGTACTCAAAAGTTTTAACACCCCACACCTTTCCCTAATCAAACATTATATTTGTTTAATGTAAAAGATCAGTAGCTCACATAATACTACAGGTCGAATCAAAACTACAAGCTATAATCATAATTAATTTGTCATATATAGTGCCTTTGCTGTGTCAAAAACAGATGGATAGTTGGTCAATTTATATTATTGACAGTTTTTACCTCTACCTCATTCATGTGTCCTCACTCAGCGCACAATAAACATCAAAGGGAAAAATGCAGAGTGTAAGGTCATAGCTCAAGAGAAAATGTGTGTATGTGGAAGGTTTGGCATAAACTAAACTGTCAAAGCACTTATTGGAAAATGATATTGGGTCAAAATGGTGGAAAAACAAATAATATTTTTGTTCCCGATCTTGCAGCTCCACTTCACCATTCCCTCAGTTCATCCACACTCCTGTAGTGACAGCTGTGGACAGAGAGCCCCAGCACCCACTCACACACACCATAGGAGACAATACCAGTGTCTTGCCTAAGGACACAACCCCAGTCTGCACTTTAAAGCCCCAGGCACAGCACTAAACGAGGAATGTGAGGAAGTGCCAGGATCTGTATCATGGTTTTAGATTATAGAGAAGTCAAAACACAAATGAAATGACAAATACTGAGAAATGTTAGTCATAAGCAGCCACTCGTTATTGAATCACGGAGTCCTGAAGGTCTTGTGATCATGGTTTTGTCATGTGACTTTGAAGATGTGGTTCTCTCCCCTTCGGCCCAGTGCCCTTTGACTCGTGATCAGAAGTTACTGATAATAATAAACAAGGACGAAGGAGCCGAGAATAGACTTTAAAAGAACCTCTGTCTCGCACTGAAGTAAATATGTGACATGTTAGAGCCACAGGGACTGGCCTCCAGCTGGGACTCTGAGGAGCACAGGGACTGGCCTCCTGCTGGGACTCTGAGGAGCACAGGGACTGGCCTCCTGCTGGGACTCTGAGGAGCACAGGGACTGGCCTCCTGCTGGGACTCTGAGGAGCACAGGGACTGGCCTCCTGCTGGGACTCTGAGGAGCACAGGGACTGGCCTCCTGCTGGGACTCTGAGGAGCACAGGGACTGGCCTCCTGCTGGGACACTGAGGAGCACAGGGACTGGCCTCCTGCTGGTCCCAGAGTCAGGACAAAACATGTAGAGGTAGGATTTCAGGTCAAGGCCCCTAGAATCTAGAACAGTCTTCCTAAAGATGCATGGTTTTGTTGTTTAAAAGTAAATAGGAGGATTTTCTACTTCCGGGCAGATCATCAAGACTATTGGTCCTCCCAACTGTCAATCATTCTGGTGATACATGCTCGTCAATAAAACCAGAGTTCTGTTCAAAAAGTGAAGAGGGCGGTTCTTTCCTAAAATTTGGGAAAATCCTCAATTAAACCTTTAAGTCCAGGCTGAAAATGGTTAGATCTGTATGAGTCAGGTTTAATACAGAGATTATACCAATTGAGATACTGAGATAATAATAATTCTGATGCTAACTTTTATGTTTCACCTCAAATGTCTTCTATGGTTTGTAAATATGTCTATTGTGTGTCTTTGTAAAGCAGCTCAGGTTGCACTGCCTGCATTGTGCTTTATAAATAAACTTGATTGAAGCAAACAGAAGCAGCGCAAACATGTGGCCTTTGTGTTTCTGACACCGACCTCTGTCTAATTATACACACACACACACACACATGCACAAGCGCACACACACACACACACACACACACACACACAAGCGCACACACACGCACACACGTACTCAGGTGGAAGGGGGCACTCTGGGTTTACTGCAACTGTAAAACGGGTTTACTACGAACCCAAACCCTAAACACAAAGTCTGAGATTGAACCATGTTGGGGCGATATGAACAAAAATAATTATCTCCATATTTGTTTCCCAACTCCCGATAACGATATTGTCACGATATCTTTGAAATTAATAATTTTTACACAAAAACGATCTGCAATGTTAATCAAAATAGAGATAGAACATCTCCAAAAAGGCTACCTCAATATGTTCTGAAATGTACAAATAAAGCCGCGATCGCCGCTTAAGGCACTCATTTGACAAATGGGCATCGTGCCTGCTCCAATTGTAATATATATTGAAAAAAGAGAAGAAAAAAAAAAGACGATAACACCAAAAAGTATATCTTCAAATTCACTTTTGCGATATTATGGTCTACGATATATTTTGCCCACCCCTAACCATGTTACAACATTATAAGATTATTATGAGTAATAATAATCTTTATTAATGACACAATATAACATGGTTCATTATACAAACATATATAACACATACAGTCTATTGCATAAAGAAAAATGCATTGGTTTTTATACATCGATGTTTGGACACTTAGAGGCTTCACTCTGAGGGCAGCTGTGGCTACAGTAGCTCCTCACCACTGGTACACACACACACACACACACACACACACACACACACACACACACACACACACGTCTGTGTGTGAACAAAATGTACAGACCTATGCAAATATAGGATTCCACACTAAAATGACAAACCCCATTTCACTTTGCACAGTAAGTTTAATTCATGAAGTTCTCAGCACATGCCCCAAGATATGTAGAGCAATAAGTGGTGTAATAACTGCTCAATTACACTTTGCTACAGCTACAAACCGGTCCCCAAGGGCAGGTGTGGCTGCAGGTGTGGCTGCAGGTGTGGCTGCAGGTGTGGCTGCAGGTGTGGCTGCAGGTCTTCATTCCAACCAAACAGGAGCAAGTCAGACTCCACCCATTTCCTCAAGCGAGTCCAGGCTCAACCTGAAGACTTGAGGAAATGGGTGACACAAACTATTACTGAGTAGTTTACCGTTCAATGTACGTCAATAGGAGCAAAACTTTGTCCATGAGCCCTTCCCTGCTGGGCTACATTGAGCTGGGGGGGTTAGCACTGTCCTTCCATACAGTCTATGCTCTCTGGGATCCCAAAGGGCCCGTGTTGTGTAATGTGTGGGTCTGTACAGTGTGTTATCAAAGGGGCCCTGAATAATGACAGCCAAAGTTCACAAAGACGGTTTAAAGCTAAGGTACCTAACTTTGAAATCACAAAACAAGTGTCTATGGAACTCCCAGCTCTCAGAACAGTTTGGTTCTATCAACAGTTTTTACATATGTGTATTTTGAGCCTTTTTCAGTTTAACTCAGCTTTGTCAGTGGGATAGAGAACCAGCCAATCAGCTCTCACTATGGACAATATAACATGCTTTAATATCTCTTTTAAGTTTGCAGAAGCAGAGAAGCTAATGTGTATTTATTAAATGTGGGATTAAATAAATTCTCCTCTTCCCACTTCCTTTCAATAAATAAATAAAATATAGACGGCATGTTGTGGGTTCTATTTTGTTCACAGAATGCTACAAGACTCTTCCAGTTGGGACAAACACAAAGTAGGGCCTGACCCTGGGCCTGACCCTGACCCTGGGCCTGACCCTGACCCTGGGCCTGACCCTGACCCTGGGCCTGACCCTGACCCTGGGCCTGACCCTGACCCTGGGCCTGACCCTGACCCTGGGCCTGACCCTGACCCTGGGCCTGACCCTGACCCTGGGCCTGACCCTGACCCTGGGCCTGACTCTGGGCCTGACCCTGGCACATGCAGACTTTTTGCTTCGTCCTTCTATGTACCTGTAAAATACATTGAAAAACTGCTCAACTGTACTACTACTAATACTACTACTACTACTACATATGGACCCTGTGTTGCCAATAAAGCCAAATGTAAAAATACGTGAGTCAACGGGGAACAAACCAGGCTACAGTAGTGTCATTTTTCCATCTCCAACTTCACCAACCACTCGTATCTTCCTCTTTCTGCTTAGACACAGAGGGGGGGGGGGGGGGGGGGGGGGACATTTGCTCTCTCAAACCTGAGCGAGATCACAGTAATAAAGCAAACCGGTCTGCATCCTTCTGCATCCTGTGCAACTGTATCGATCTGGCTTTGGCACTTTTGATGTCATGTAAAAAGAGGTCAAATCAAAGTGCCGCAGGGAGCACTAAGCACTTTGTTCAGCGCTAAAATATCTGCATCAACAGAATCACTCTGAAAACAAATGAGAGCGTAAATTTGAGAGAAAAACGATCATAGAATGGTTGAAAAGTCTGGAGAATGTTCTGTATAATCTCAGAAAAGGTTAATACTTAGGTTTGGTATGAGTCCTATAATCAGAGGGTTTCATTGGAGGACTGCATTCGGTCCCCAACTGTATTACATGATGTCAGCTCTGCACAGAAGGATCTATGGCTAAAACTGAGTGGATTAAGACGAAACGCAATATGTGTGATCCTCCATCACCTCCTCCATCACCTCCTCCAGCACCTCATCACCTCCTCCAGCACCTCCTCCATCATCTCCTCCATCACCTCCTTCGAGCACCTCCTCCATCACCTCCATCACCTCCTCATCACCTCCTCATCACCTCCTCCAGCACCTCCTCCATCACCTCCTCCATCACCTCCTCCATCACCTCCTCCAGCACCTCATCACCTCCTCCAGCACCTCCTCCATCACCTCCTACAGCACCTCCTCCATCACCTCCTTATCACCTCCTCATCACCTCCTCCATCACCTCCTCCATCACCTCCTCCATCACCTCCTCCGTCACCGTGTGGTTCGCTGGAGCCACAGTCAGGGACAAACAGAGACTACAGTGCATTGTGCGCTCTGCAGAGGAAGTGATCGGCCGCAGCCTTCCATCGCTGCAGGACCTGTACATCGCCCGAGCTCGAGGCCGGGCTGGTCGTATCACAGCCGACCCCTCTCACCTGCACATGGACTATTCCAACCACTCCCCTCTCACCTGCACATGGACTATTCCAACCACTCCCCTCTCACCTGCACATGGACTATTCCAACCACTCCCCTCTCACCTGCACATGGACTATTCCAACCACTCCCCTCTCACCTGCACATGGACTATTCCAACCACTCCCCTCAGGCAGGAGGCTGCGGTCCATCAGGACTAGAACCTCCCGCCACAAGAACAGTTTCTTCCCCTCTGCTGTTGGACTCTTGAACACTTCTTAACCTGTCCCCCCGCCCTTTATAAAGTCACTTTACTGCCCATCATACGTCACTTTACTTCACTGTACTGCTGTCACCTTACATTGTGTGCACCATGTGCACTTGGATATTGTAAATAGTAACTGTAACTCTATTTTAAATTTAAATTTATTCCTTAGAAGTGTTTTTTATTCTTCATTTTTATTATCTCTTTTTGACTGTTGCACTGAGCCAAAGCAATTTCCAAGTCTGTGACTTCCTGTTACTTACGTGGAAATAAAAATGATTCTGATTCTGATTTATTGTTTTTATTACTTATACATTTAATTTTTATGTATTATTTATTGCGGGCATGTAAGTGGGCATGGAAATAATTAGTGCAAAATTAATTACAAGCAACTTAACTACATTTACAAAACATAACAGGAGTAATAATCAGAATCATTTTTATTGCCACGTAAGTAACAGGAAGTCACAGATTTGGTAATTGCTCTGGCTCTCGGGGCATCAGTCAGAAAGAGAGGTAAAGGGAGAGAACAGAGTGAGGCATAATAAAAATCAGCAACTCTTCCAATGTATGACATTTAAAATAGAATTATTACGATTACAATTATTATATGCAACATACCAGTGTACATGGTTCACACCGCAGTAAGCAGTGACAGCAGTGAAGAGTAACAATACCAACATAACATAATAATTACATTTAAATTGTTTTTACTGCGTACATAATGTGTATTTAACATCTCTTTTTTGAGCGAAATGGGTTTAATCTGCTCACAGTGACTTGTTGTCAGTATATTTTATTGGTCTCTCTCTGGTCTCTCTCTCTGGTCTCTCTCTCTGGTCTCTCTCTCTGGTCTCTCTCTCTGGTCTCTCTCTCTGGTCTCTCTCTCTGGTCTCTCTCTCTGGTCTCTCTCTCTGGTCTCTCTCTCTGGTCTCTCTCTCTGGTCTCTCTCTCTGGTCTCTCTCTCTGGTCTCTCTCTCTGGTCTCTCTCTCGGGTGTTGTGCTAATGAGCTTTTTGCTTCAGCCCACTCCTTTTGTGCAGTATTAATACTGTTCAAATAAATAAATAAATAAATATATTGAACTGTGTTTTATCTCCGTGCAGCACAAACTTGTTTAATAAAACGTATAAAGTGTAGATAAAGTGGATTGAAGCAGTTCTGACTGAAGTTAATGTCAAGTTCAAATAAGAGGCACTTACACAACAGGTTCCTCAGCTGAAATCTGCTTGTTCTGTCCTTGAGTCGTTCAGAGGTTGTGGGTGAGATTCCGGCTGCAGCGTCTGTGTTTGGTTAGGTTTCAGTTCTTGTGAATTAAATGTACCTGAGGCTTAAAATAGAATGGATTTACCTGCTCCGCTCTGGAATGCTGGGAATGACGCAGTGAAATATGAGCTCATCAGGAAGTCCTTATAGAAACTGATCCACCCTCACTGTGTGTCAAGTCCTTTAAAGTTTTGATGTCTGAATGCAGGTTCGACTTGAAAAACCAATGAACACAAGGACGCAGGTTCAACTCAGCTTTAACTTTTTATTGTCATTTGTTGCATCAGCAGTAGCAACAGCAGCAGGTCGAAAACCTTTGGAGAAAATATACATTTTTAATAAACAGATTTTATCTATTTACTTTTTAAAGAATGAATCAATACTTTGAAACTAAATTTGTACTATTTTTACAATGTTTTTAACTTGAATTTTATTGTACTTATCGTAATTTTAATGTTTTATTACAATAACTACGGTCCAAATACTTTTAGAATTTAACTTAATTACTTTTAGTTTTTACAAATTTTATCAAAATATTTTAACATTGTATTTGATCATAACACTAACTTTTTAGATTGAAGATTATTTAAACAAATAAATGAATTACAAATATTTTAGACTGCACTGTTAACTCAACTTAGAGAGCCAATCAATTAAACTGATTGTGAGACGTTAAAGATAATTTCTTGTAAATATTTATTACAATTAACTGAAAGTTACCCACAATAGATATTAGCCAAATAGAGTTGAGGTGCCTAGACTGAGAAATAAGTTAAATAATATTACCCCTCACTTGGGTGACTCAAAAGTGGTTGAATTAGCCAAAATATGTTACATTCCTGATAGCAAACGAACTAAAACGAGGCCTTTGTCTATTTTAAGCTTTTAAACAGAAATCTTCACTCACCAGTAGCATCTGTGTTCACCTTCATGCATTCAGTTTGTGTGTGTGGTTACACACCTGCACAAACTTGGCTAATTATTTGGGGACTACTGGTCCCATTCTAACTATGCCTCCATCTACAGGCTAAACTTAAAATAACAAAAGAGATTGGAAGATAGACAGATCAGTAAGAGTAGATTAGAAAGATGTTTAGATTTAAGCCGAGATTGACTTAACACTGTGTGAAGGGCTGTCAGACTGTACAACAAACACTGAAGACTAAGGAACGCTGTCGACCTGACCCCAACTAAACTGTGACTGTTCTCAAACAATAAGTCGTGGAAACAAAAGCTCTGAAATCCACCTTAGAGACGAAAACAGCATTTAACTCAGGCAGGAGGAAGGTTAAGTTATTCAGAATGATCACAGAAATCCAGTCAGTTCAGACGTTTAAATAAAGTATAGAGTTTTTAAAGTATGGTATAAAGTTGATAAAGTATAGTATAAAGTGTATAAAGTATAGGATAAAAGTATCAAAGCTCTGGACGCCTGGCGGTAAACGAAAGGAGGGAGAGAGGCTCTATACCGAGCTCTGCAAACCTGCAGCTGCTGCCAGAGGATCAAATACTGGATCAAGACTTCTTTAGCATAGGCTTAAAAACACGTCTACACATTTACAAGACCCACTCTGACCCACTCTGACCCACTCTGACCCACTCTGACCCACTCTGACCGGCTCAGGTCTGCAGGAGGCCACAACAAAACCCAGTAAGGTTCAGAGTCCGGATCTGATGTGTGGGCGTCTGCTCAGAGTCTGCAGCAGTCTGTGTTTTCTGCTCTTTGTCCGACCGCTCCTCAGCTGAGCACTTCCTTTCTCTGAATCTTCCATCATCTTCCCAGTGGCAAAGAAGAGCAATCCCAGCACCGATAACCACTATCGGCCTGTAGCCCTGACGTCGCTGGTCATGGAGAGCTTTGAGTTGGTCCTCACCAGCGGCAGGAGGATGTTGGTGCGACTCTGACCCACTGCAGGTTTCATCCCGGTCGCACAGAGGCCTGGATGATGCTGGGCTGACCCTGCTGCACGGATCTGCGTCTGGAGGAGCCCAAGTCTGACGTGAGCATGGTCTTCGTGGACTTCTCTTACACATTCAACAACCTTCTCAAGATTCAAGATTAATGTATTATGTCCCGTAGGAAATGTGTCTTGGACTCACAGCTGCTACATTGAAAAAACACATAAGACAGACACAAAAACACTGCAACACAGACAAAAACCATCAGCTCTGCTCCATGGTCTGTGTTCAGGAGGTTCACAGACATAAACCATCAGCTCTGCTCCATGGTCTGCGTTCAGGAGGTTCACAGACATAAACCATCAGCTCTGCTCCATGGTCTGTGTTCAGGAGGTTCACAGACATAAACCATCAGCTCTGCTCCATGGTCTGTGTTCAGGAGGTTCACAGACATAAA